AAAAGATGCAGGTCCGCCGTTAACAGCGCTTCGGGCCGCATCAATTTCCAGCGAAAAGACACCAGAGGCCAGCCTCGAGAGGCTGGTACCCTTAGCAGATTTTGTAGAGGGATGGTATCATCTTCCCAACATATCTCCATGGGTCCTGCAGATAATACGAGTTGGGTACAGACTGCAGTTCGCGCACCGCCCCCCCAAGTTCTCTGGGGTGGTGCTCACTGCGGTGGTCCCAGAGCAGGCTCAGGTGTTGGAACAAGAAGTACAGACTCTGCTGTCGAAAGGAGCCATAGAACGTGTTCTTCCGGTAGACAGGGAGTCCGGGTTTTACAGCCGGTACTTTATAGTTCCAAAGAAGGATGGGGGGTTAAGGCCAATTTTGGATCTCAGGGTGTTGAACCGGTCTCTGAGAAGGTTCAAATTCAGAATGTTGACCATTCCAACAATCGTGAGTCAAATCAGATCCGAGGACTGGTTTGTCACGATAGATCTGAAAGACGCCTATTTTCACATCTCCATCCTTCCTTGTCACAGGAGGTACCTGAGGTTCGCTTTCGGGGGCGAAGCATACCAATATCGGGTTCTTCCGTTCGGCCTAGCACTCTCTCCCCGCACATTTACCAAGTGTATGGACGTGGCCCTTGCTCCACTGAGACTTCAGGGGATTCGCGTATTGAATTATCTCGACGACTGGCTTATTTTGGCCCAGTCTCGGGAGATGGCAGTTCGGCATCGAGATGTCGTTCTTGGCCATATTCAAAAATTGGGGTTAAGACTCAATTTGAAGAAGAGTGTGCTAGAACCGTCCCAGGGCACGACCTTTTTGGGAGTCGTGTGGAACTCGATTACAATGCAGGCACGTATGTCTCCCGCACGTATCGAGTCAATTCTGGCGATGGTGTCCAGGGTGAGGCTAGGTCAGGCCGTCACTGTGAAACACTTTCAAAGGATGCTGGGCCTCATGGCAGCGGCATCCAACATTATTCCTCTGGGCCTCCTTCACATGAGGCCCCTCCAGTGGTGGTTGAAGACCAAGGGGTTCTCACCCAAAGGAAATCCGTTCCGTATGATCAGAGTAACGCGCAAGTGCCTTCAGTCTCTGCAAATATGAAAGAAGCCTTGGTTCCTATCCCAAGGGCCAGTGTTGGGGGTGTCATGTCGCCGGGAAACCGTTTCGACAGACGCCTCCCTTACGGGCTGGGGCGCGGTCATGGACGGCCGCTTTACCAGGGGTCTGTGGCAGGACCATCATCGCACTTGGCATATAAATTGCCTGGAGATGATGGCGGTATTCAAGGCTTTGAGGAGCTTCCTCCCAGACATCGAGGGTCGCCACGTCCTTATACGGACAGACAATACGTCAGTGGTGGCCTATCTGAACCGACAGGGGGGACTCAGATCGCGCCCTCTGTGCAAACTGGCGCATCAGATTATCCTTTGGTCCCAGGGAAAGATATTGTCAATAAGGGCAATGTATATCCCAGGGGTTCAGAATCGGGGAGCAGACATCCTGTCGAGGCAGGGGCTGAGGCCCGGGGAATGGAGACTTCATCCGGATGTGGTGAAGTCGATATGGGAGAGGTTCGGACCGATGGAAGTGGATCTGTTTGCGTCTCGAGAGACGTCCCACTGTCCACTTTGGTTCTCCCTCTCACATCCAGCCCCACTGGGGTTGGATGCCATGGTACAGGCTTGGCCGAGGCTTCGCCTGTATGCTTTCCCCCCGATCGCTCTGCTCCCAGGGGTCCTGGAGAGGGTCCGTCAAGAGGGCATCAGTCTACTTCTGGTTGCCCCGAGATGGCCGACACGAGTATGGTTCTCGGATATAATATCACTCCTCATAGCTCCGCCATGGCCGATTCCTCTGAGGAGGGATCTATTGTCTCAGGCGGAGGGCACAATCTTCCACCCTCGCCCAGAGTTGTGGAAGCTGTGGGTCTGGCCTCTGAGGGGGTTCAGTACCTAAATGCTGGCTTATCAGCTGAGGTGGTTGAAACCATACTTAGCTCTAGGGCCCCATCTACCAGGAGATTATATGGCCTCAAGTGGAAGGTGTTTCACACTTGGTGTGGAGAACGAAGGTTGGATCCAGTAAACTGCCCAGTGGCTTCAGTTCTGGAATTCCTTCAGGATCGTTTCTCTGCGGGTCTCTCCCCGTCCACTCTTAAGGTGTACGTGGCTGCCGTTTCGGCTTTCCACGCGCCAGTAGATGGTGGACCTCTGGGGAGGCACCAGTTGGTCATTAGGTTTCTCCGTGGTGCTTGGAGGATGAGGCCGGCGATCAGGTCCAGGGTGCCTGCCTGGGATCTGGCAATAGTTCTGGAAGGGTTGTCCCTCGCTCCCTTCGAACCTTTAGAGTCGGCTTCGCCTAAGGACTTAACGTTGAAAATGGTCTTTCTCTTAGCGATTACCTCTCTTAAGAGGGTGGGAGATCTCCAGGCCCTGGCGGTAACACCAGCTTGCTTGGAGTTTGCCCCTGGCAAAGTAAAGGCCTTTTTGCACCCGAGTCCGGGCTACGTGCCTAAAGTTCCTTCGAGTACGGCTCGCTCTGTAGTCCTTCAGGCATTCCATCCTCCACCTCATGTGTCGGCGGGAGAAGAGAGGCTTCACTTGCTCTGCCCCGTCAGAGCTTTGAGTGTATACTTGGAAAAGTCTGCTTCTTGGAGAAGATCTGACCAGTTGTTAGTATGCTTTGGGTCACCTAAGAGGGGGCTCCCGGCGACCAAACAAACTATAAGTAACTGGATTGTCCAGGCTATTACTGAGGCTTACAAGGTGCGTGGGGTTCCTTCACCTTTGGCCTTAAGGGCTCACTCGACTAGAGGCATGGCTTCCTCTAGGGCCCTTCTTTCGGGAGTACCTCTGCAGGAGATTTGTGAGGCAGCCGGCTGGGCTACCCCGCATACTTTCATCAGGTTTTACAGTCTCAGCCTTCCCAGTACGCCCGGTGCACACGTACTCGGCCCTTGCTGAGTGCCTAATCAGTTTCACTCTGGGGCGGGTCTGTTCGGTGCGTGGCCTAGTGGGTACTCGTTCCCCAAAGAGTCGATTTTATCGACGCAGTGTTGAGTTCCCTCGATAGGGAACGTCTCGGGTTATGACTATAACCCTTGTTCCCTGAGAAGGGAACGAGACACTGCGTCGTGTTGCCACGCCCCCTTTTCAGACCCTTGAGCGTCTTGCTTCATCGCGAGGCTAGTGTGTGTTGTGACAGCGTCACTTTTATACTTCCGGGTATGCCGTCACATGTTACGTCACGACGCAACACCAATCAGGATTGGATTAGTTTCATTCATACTTCAGAGGCGCACGCTTAGGGAGCGTCCCCAAAGAGTCGATTTTATCGACGCAGTGTCTCGTTCCCTTCTCAGGGAACAAGGGTTATAGTCATAACCCGAGACGTTTTCTTTTGCATCTGTTGCTTTTTCACCTTTTTAAAGGGATACTCCACCCAAAAATGAAAATTCTGTCATCATTTACTCACCCTCAAGTTGTTGCAAACCTGTGTAAGTTTCTTTCTTCTGCTGAACACAAAGGAAGTTATTTTGAAGAACGATTGGAACCGAACAGTTGTTTGGCACCATTGACTTCTATAGTAGAAAAAAAAAAATACAATGGTCAATGGTGCCAAAGTTCCAATCGTTCTTCAAAATATCTTCCTTTGTGTTCAGTAGAAGAAACTCGTACAGGTTTGCAACAACTTGAGGGTGAGTAAATGATGACAGAATTTTCATTTTTGTGTGGAGTATCAAGATTTAGCCTATAGATAACTTACGGCCCACATACTGTAGAGGCCTACTTAAATTTCTGCGTTCCTCTCCATCTCTCGCACAGTTCAATGAACTAGCCTTTCAAAGTATACTCCTTTGGCTTTGGCCGTGAGCGCAGTAAGACGCATTCGGTAGACATTGTTTTCAAGCTGTTGTATGCACACCATCCGCGCTGACAAATCTTTTAGCTTCATGCGGACAGTGCACGACTGCCATGCAGGCGGACAGCCAACGTATAGTTTAGGCTATAGCATTTCTTTTCCAATGTTTTCTTAGTAGACATGCACAAGATGGATGCTTGAATGTTGCGCTTGCAACTACTGTAGTGTCTTGCGCATGACACAGCATTCTATACATGCTGCATTCAAGTTAAAAGATGTTAAAATTTTTAAAAAGCATTTAAAAAACATCTCAACTATATGTTCACACTGTTTGCCATTCCCCTGTGTCTATCACATGATAATCTCAATGGCCTTGGGTAGGAGGTGGGGCATAATATGTTATTTTGTGCTGCTAACAGCATTCACTCAGTCTTGAGAAATGGTGTGCATTGAGAGAGTATATACCTTCTGGGTACACCTCTTCAGGTTGATTCATGCCTTCGAATGTTCAGAATATATAAATATTACAGATGAAGAGCAGTTTGGAGTGGATATTTCGAGAGGAAGTGTGCACAGGGTGGGGTCGTGTATATGTCAAACACAATGGATGAGTCAACAGTTGCCATGTTTGATTTAGTCAACATCCTCTCAGGCAAGCACCTACACATCTCCACCGGCAGAAGATCCGTTTGGCTCCCCATCCAAACTTACACACTGTAAAATGAGCTTTCCATACACAAATTTTGAAAATGCAAAATGCTCTTCCACAGCAGGGCCACCAATGAGAGTTTAAGCTTTTGGTTTGGATGTTGGTTGCACAACGGATGTAAATATCAATATATACTATTTAACTCCAGCTCTAATTATTTATTATTTATAATTAACGTGCACTTTTGCAGTTATTTGCTCTCTAAGGCGGTGTGTCCACCAAAGTGTTTTTCCACACGCCTGGCGTATGTTTTCAATGGGAGCACTGCTTTTTTTTTAAACGGCATGAGCGTAACGAGACGCTAAGCGTTTTTTTCACGTTTTTTTTTTTACTGGTCGCCGAGAGTTGAAAAATTTTCAACTTTGGATAAAACGCTGCGCTCATCACTGTCACTTTTTACCCAGCTGTCCAATCACAGTGGAGGAGGGGCGGGACTAATACCACACCGACCAAGTGTCACAACATTCTTTCTGTACAACATTAACCAGCAGAGCTAACTGAACAAAAGGGATGAAAAGTTCATTTTTAGTATGAAACAAATAATCTGCGAAATCAGTTACAAGTAAAATGTGCAATGGATATTCTGTATCATAGCAACGAAACGTCTCAACTGAAAAAATGCTGCGCTGCCAAAAAGCTCCCACAGCAAGGTGTTTTCAGTTTTGCTTTAGTGGACACACAGCCTTAATACCCCTTCGCACCACATTAAAACATTTTTTTTCCGCAGCTCAGTGAACTGAATATTACTCTTGTTAATGCAGAGGAAGCCTGAGCTTCAGCAACTAGTTGGCATGCAAATTCATGGATTAGATGTCATTTGCTCTCATTTCCTCTCAGTGTTGCTCTCCTCCGTTGCCACAAACTTTATTTCTGCATTGGCAGTGCGGGAGGCGACACTGCTGTCCCTCACTTTGTGTCTGAAGAGGAAGGGGAAGGTCTTCCTGAAAGACTTGCGGAAGCTAGCGCCCATAAAACCATAGACAATAGGGTTGATAGACGAGTTGGCATAGGACATGCAGTTGGCCCACGTCTTGATCTTATATGTTGCGTAGTTGGCCTTGAAGTTGGGGTAGAAAGACTGGAACAGGACAAAGATCTGAATGGGACCCCAGCAAATGGTGAAGAGGACAACAATGACCACTACCATTTTGGAAATCTTACTCCTAATGAAGATAGTTCTCTCTGAGAGCAGGTGGACCTGAAACAAACAAAGTTTTGAAAAGATTATGAAGGAGAAATTAGCCTCATATGTGCTTTCACTTACAAAAAACGTAAATTAAATGAATGGATCAGTGACATATTAGTGACTATGCTCCACAAAAGTACCTAGACTTCTAGTCATTATAATGAAGGTCTACAATGAAGTGCAATTCTTTTTAATTTAACTGAAACTTGACCAAACAAGAAATTTAGATTTTTTTTTTTCTGTATGAATGTTAAGAAATCTATTAGGAATGATTTTATACTATACTACGCTATCATACAGATAATGACTTGAATGAACCTCTTCTATGATGGAAATTACTTTTATATTTTTCATGGGGTCTAAAGTAAAAGAAAAATGTCAAGGTATATCACCATTAGAAGTCTCATTAAATCTCTGAATAAATGTTGACATAAGTAGATTTACATGATTTTTATTCATATTTTCTATATATATTTAATTATATACCGTAAGTAGTTTCCTATAACATTTTGTTACTATTAAAAACTGTCAAATCTATCTAATATTTGAAAAAAGAAAAAGATCAAAATGTGTATTTAAGGTGTTGACAATTTCTGTATTGCTTTTCGCCTGATGATTACACCATTTTATTGATATATCCTTATTTGTCAGTCACTGACCTTCCTATATTCTAAATATGAAACCATTGCAGTTCTAATAAATAAAACACAATTTCTGTTGTAAAAGCAATTGAGATTGACCTCTGAATTACTACACTCTAAAAAATGCTGGGTTGTTTTAACCCAACTTTGGGTCAAATATGGACTAACCCAGCCGTTGGGTTAAATTTTTACATTACATTTTTAACCCAACATTTCGGGTTTGTCCATATTTGACCCAAAATTGGGTTAAAACAACCCAGCATTTTTTAGAGTGTAAAATAGCTAGCACATTTTTTGCATAAAGTTTTCACAGTTTAATCATTTATTTATTATTACATAATGTGAAATTTTCAGCTATAAAAATGGACTGTACAGGCCATTGCAAAGAATTTAAATGAAGATAAAGTGGCAAAGAAGATAACATGAAACAAAATCATTAATTAGCAAAAGGTTATTCCACAGTGCCCACTGCTGGTTCATGCCACATCTAACCACACACCAATTACAGAGTTTCATTCCTCAAAACTCACTATACAAGAAAAAAAAATTTTTAAGACGTACTGTAGATTAAACATCTGCAGGCTAAAAAACAGTGTGGTGACTCGGGAACTTTGAGTGAGAGAGAGGTCACTCAGCCGTAATGTGGGGAAAAGTCTTTTTTCTCAGACAATATAGAGCTTTTAGGAGCTTTTAGTCTGAAATTCTAACACTGCCCGCTTCTCAAAGAGTCACTATATCGACAGCGAAGTCTGGTGTTTGGCAGCATCATGCTGTGAGGTGTTTTTTCACTTTCAGTGACTGGGTTTCTTATCAAAGGGAAAAGGTGACTGTGCAAAATACTGCACATCTCAGTTCAATAAGGCATCTGTGGCACTACTTGAATATTGGAAGCACAGGTGCAAATCTAAACCTTGTCACAAATATGTTTTTGAAGGCAGCATTTATCAATCTGCTCACAGTTGGTGAAAATAATAAAACAAATTATAATTATCCTTATTATTAACAAATTATAATAATTATTTATAATTATAAATAGTTATATTGTTATATAATTATTTCAACATGATTCTGTCAAAATATGAATATTTCATATTAATAACATTCATTCAATCACTATATTTATTATGTAGTTTATTAAAGGTGCAGTAAGTGATTTCTGAGAAACACTGTTGATATTTGATAAATAAACCTGAACAAACACATCTCTCCCTTAATTTTAACATGTAACACTTTAATTATATTCTGCTAAAGTTAACAAAATGACTTGGAAAAAAGATTCATTCAGTTTGCTGAATGAGACTCAAAGATCTGAGTCAGTAAAATGATCCTAACTTCCCATTGCTACAGAGAAAAGTGAAGATGACGAAAGAACAAGTAAGAAAAACAAATTAATATACAGTACACTAAGTGTGATAGTTGTCAAAATGTCCTGTGACTAAAGCTAAAATTACAACAACAGCATATTGGTTCTGTGAAACATAGAAAAACCAATATGGAGCAGAATCAACCCAACCTCTGCATCCATTTTCAGGCTTTTCCGCTTCCTCTCCAGTCTCTCCAGTGTTTGTAATGTCTCTCAGCCATCTCCCTTTCTACATTCATTCTTCAAATTTCCCTCTTGCTCTTTCTTTCTCTACTCCCCCTTCATCACTGTAAACACCCCCTACTGCTGATTGGCTACAAGTTTGTTGTGGTGCTCGGTACACTCTAAAAAATGCTGGGTTGTTTTAACCCAATTTTGGGTCAAATATGGACAAACCCGAAATGTTGGGTTAAAAATGTAATGTAAAAATTTAACCCAATGGCTGGGTTAGTCCATATTTGACCCAAAGTTGGGTTAAAACAACCCAGCATTTTTTAGAGTGTAAGATTCACTTGCAACAGAATTTCTCAGAGATCACTCACTGAACCTTTACAAGTATTTCCAGTAATTTATTTATTTATTTATGTATTTATGCAAGGCACTGTCTTTCACTTTGGCCTTAAATTACTTTTATTTTACAAAATAAAAGGTTACTACACTCTAAAAAATGCTGGGTTGTTTTAACCCAATTTTGGGTCAAATATGGACAAACCCAAAATGCTGGGTTAAAAATGTAATGTAAAAATTTAACCCAACGGCTGGGTTAGTCCATATTTGACCCAAAGTTGGGTTAAAACAACCCAGCATTTTTTAGAGTGTACTATAACGACTTTGTCTTTACTGTTGAAGAGAAGGAAAGAAACAAAGATATAGCTCGAAGCACACCTGAATTATAGATTAAAGAGTGTATAGTCTTTTATATTCAGTGGAGTATCATACCTGATGGCTGTTATCCACTGGTTCTACAGAGGCCTGTCCCACTCTCTTCAACATGAAGGAATAACAGAAGGAGATGGTAATGACAGGCAGTAGATAAACAGCTATGAACTGATAAAGGATGAAAGCCTTTTCAGTGGCCTTTGATGGAAACCTCTCCATGCAGTACTTTCTTGGTCCGTACCAATAGCCGTCCTCAAGCCTCTGGTACAGGAAGATTGGTATGGAAAGAATGAAGGAACCTTGTTGCATAAGAGAGGGTAAGGTGAGAATTTAAATGCTCATTAATTTTCAATATTTTACATAGTATTCTGGGTGATGAAATGCAGTTGAGTGCTGTCATGCACTTATGTTAAAAAGCATCAATGTGAAGCTTGAATTTTTGTTGGAGCTTTTAGCCTACATTAATTGTTCAGTAAAAATAAATGTAGATTTTTGAGCTGTATTGTCTCAACTGTTCTGTTGAAGTGGGGCTACTTTTAGGTGGATCGACCTCTGGTTACGTTATTGATGTAATTTGGTATTCTTGTGTGAACATGCAGTTTTACATGGTAAGGATGAGTTAAATAAATTAGATTACCAATCTTTACACATTGTGGTTCTAACAGTATGTTTACACTGATATTTTTTTTTATGCATTGACAGCAATTAAGATATCTACAAAACTACCTAGCTACAAATAATAAAATACAAAAGTATATCTATAATAAAGGACAGCTTTAAATAATTGAAAAATATATTTATGAATTATTTATATTTATATTGTATTCTAAATACATTTGTAGTTACATTTTACGAATATACAATACATATACATTACGTCGAAAAGACTGACATGAGATCTCACTTGGGAGCCCAATCATCTTTAAGTGGTAACAAAACAAGCTAATGGACATTGGCGAGTGAGATACAAATACAAAAGTATATCTATAATAAAGGACAGCTTTAAATAATTAAAAAAATTATTTATGAATTATTTATATTTATATTGTATTCTAAATATATTTGTAGTTACATTTTACGAATATACAATACATATACATTACGTCGAAAAGACTGATATGAGATCTCACTTCGGAGCCCAATCATCTTTAAGTGGTATCAAAACAAGCTAATGGACATTGGCGAGTGAGATTTGCATGGCAAGCCACTCCTCTGGACATACTGGTATATAAGCTTGCTGGCTCACTCATTCAGCTTTTTGCTTTAGAGCCGAGCGGTTGTTTGTCAGTGCTCTGCCAATTTGCCTTCATTTCATTTCTTTTTTGTCCATTTCATTTATTTATAAAGCAAAAAATAAACAACAAAAGTTGACCAATGTGCTGTATAAATAAAGAAGTATAAAACAAGCCACACACAATACAGTAGAAAATAAAACACTAGTTTAGGGTTTAGAGAAACCAAAGTTATGAATGAAATGCAAAAGCTAAAATATAAGACTGTAGCTTAGATTTAAATTCATGTACAGACGTTGCAGACCTTACAGATAAGGAAAGACTGTTCCATATCCTAGGACCGGCCACTGAAAACGCTCAGTCACCTCGCAACATCAATCTTGATCTTGGATATGACAGTATAATGCTGTCTGAGGATCACAAGCATCTTGGTGACTTTGTTGAAGATTTGACAGATAGGATGGTGCCAGACCAGTTAAAGCCTTAAAAACTAGCAACAAAATTTTAAATTCAACTCTATAACTCACTGGCAACCAATTTAGAGACAATAATGTCAGAGTAAAGGGCTCTCGTCTATGAACCCAAGTTAAAAACCTGCCTGCGGCATTTTGGACCATCTGAAGCCGTGCCATGGAGGATTCGGGTAATCCAATATACAGTGAATTACGATAGTCCTAACGAAATAAACAAAAGCATATGTGACAGTTTTAAGATCGTTAAAAGATAGAAAACTTTTTATTTGTACAGAAAAAAACAAGACTTTACAGAATTTATTTGTTGGTCAAACTTGAGTGATAAATCAAAATGAAGTCCCAGATTTTTCATAGTGGGTTTGATATAAGAGTTTCAATAATCGTAATCAGTATTCGGGTTTGATTTTCCCACAGAGGGGCCAAAAACAATTGCTTCAATCTTATTCTCATTTAAGTGCAAGAAATTCAAGGACATCCAAGATTGTACATCAGTTAATGCGAGACACGTGACTCGCATTAATATCTATAATAATATATATCACCATGAAACTTCCTCAGTTGATTACGTACACAAGTATATAAAAAATGTATTATAAGTTTTTGAAATTTATATGTTTACTTATGCAAATTATGCATTATCTCATTAAATATGAATTTTTTTTTGCATATATTTTCAGTAGATAGATCTGAACATATGAAAAAGCCAGGGGCAAAATTCTTTTTCATTTTGTTTGCACACAAGATGAAAAAAAGTTCAGAGGGATTTCAGGAAATATGCTTTTTATTATCTGAAATCAAAAGGTCCATAACCTTAAAAAATCGATTTTCGACATATTTTTTTTTTTTTTATTAAAATGTCACATACTGTAAATCAGGCCAGGAATGATTTATTAACAAATCCATCTGAAAATATCTTCAGAATACTGGTAAGTGTATAACTGGAAAGTTTAGTGTACATAGGTGCTAAATACTGTAGGCTGAGATATTTCTACTAATTTTGAGAAAAGGGCGTTAGATTTAAGTGGGGAATTTAATACATTTCTATTGGAAAAAAATGCTCAAAACAGAATAAATGCTCAGGCCCTTAGTAATAATAATATATAATATTTCATTCTCATGAAAACTGATTATTTAATAACGTGGCAGGCATATAAGGCCTACAACTGCAGTAACTCAATGAATTGACATTGTCAGAGTACACCACGTGATGCGTCTGAGCGAATCACGTTAGCAGAAACCAGCAGTAGCCAATGAGATTTCGTCATTAGCTTTAAAATCACCCTTTTGACATTCACGATTGGTTACTGATTGAAAGGAAATGCCCATATTTGGGTTACATAGCATTGTGCAGGAGATTCAGAGCTTTACAACGATACCAGTGATGACAGACTTCAGTAAACAGACGGAGTGCGGCATGACGCATTCGAATGCTAACTTCTTGGTAAATACGGGAGAAATTTACTGCTGCAAGTAAACAAAATGTAATAAAATAAACATCTTAATGTATATTTTCAACGTTTTCTTTATAGCAGCTTGAAAGAACACATATTGAAGGAGTAAACTATAGCCCAAAATCTCAAAACTGATCACTGCATGAAAAATCAATGCTTTTGCCTGCCGTGTCTCGCCTTAAACAGGCAAGCAAAGTTTCGAGGCCTTGCTTGTCATTATGTAAGGGAGATAGATTTGGGTGTCATCTGCATAAAAATGAAAAGACACTCCATGCTTCCTAAAGATTGAGCCTAGTGGTAGCATGTATAGTGAAAATAAAATGGGAGCCAGAATAGACCCTTGAGGAACACCACAGGTAACTCGTGCTACAGATGATACGGCGCGACCAATACCCACTGAAAATGTTCCTATTTTAGATCGTCACCAATAAAGGGCAGTTTCTTGAAAGCCCTCGCACTTTTCAAGAGAATCTCATGATCAATTTTATTCATGAGAGGAGACATTCTGTCACCTTCATTTATAGCGCTTTTCTGTGTTAGAGAGACGTCAAACTCAGCCATGTGTTTCCACATAAAGAGTCAACGTGCTGATCACACCCGTGTGCGCTCCTGGCCCAGTCTTACAGCCACTGCCTCACATGTCTGGGCCGTAAGCTCGCTGAGGCGGTGTCCGTCGATGATTCATGTTCTCACTGCGGGAACATGACCATTGTAATGTTAAGATCGAGGCTCCAATACCTTGAAAAAGGTGGAGTTATTAAAGTGATTACAGAGGACCACTTTGGTTAATACAGGAAAATCTGTGGATTATAGTGGGAACGAACACCATCTCAGCCGTCGCTACACCCTCAAAAGTGTTTGGCGAAACAACATCCCTGAGACAGGTTACCTAGAAAATGAGAGATCTACTCTTGTCCATGAGATGGTAAATGCACCACTCCTTCCTCTTACAATTTGTAAGTTCCTTACAATTTAGAGTTGGACATGGACTTAAAAATTTCATTTAACTAGATGTATTTCCCCTTGCACTTTTATTCTTTGGATAAAAATGAATTACATTATCATACAGGATGTGTCTGGAATCGAGTTATACTTTTATTATAATTAATAACCCGCATACTGGCGCAACTTTTAGAGTAGCATGGTGATGGTAGGATAAATGTAATTTTCCGTATAAGCTCGCGCGAACTGCTGTGTAGTGCGTACCAGAACCGTTAAATGTGTACGAGGCGCTTCAAAGGAAACTCCGCCTTCCAATTCTCCACCAATTTTTTTATATATATAATATTGTGGCAAGGGTGTGTACGTGTATTGTTATTTATTATAATATTTATAATAAAAACCTATTATTATTATTTACAATTATCAATTATATGAGACAAAAGAGGCTCCTCTCCTTTTTGATAATTGTAAATAATAATAATTACTAAATAAATATTATAATATTTATAATAATATTATTGATATTAAACTGGAGAACTATTTCACTGCTTGTCAAATGTAACATGCTTCATCCTCCAATAAAAGATTTATATAATAAAATAACAAAAAAATATATTATTGATATTAATGACATTATAGCAACGTTATGTGTATAGTGTATAATTCTACTAATTATATTAATTCTACTAATTACTTACCTATCCAGATACAGATGCTAACAATCATTGCGACACGAGGGGTCCGATGGTGGAGGGATTTCAGAGGATACACAGTCACATAGCAACGGTCTCCACTCATCGCCGTAAGAGTGATGCACGTCGCCTGTACAGTCACCTACACATTGCCAAATCTTTTGTTATCATGTGTTCATATCATTATTAGTACATGCAAGACAGACATGCCCCAGAGCGCTGGAGTAAACATAAAAATTGGATTTAAGTAATCTAAAATCTAGCACATCAAAAACACATAATGCTGTCAATATAGGCCAGTCATTAGCCCACCACATTTTGAATTAATTCTAGACCGAAAAAACCCCCAGCCCCATTCATTTGTGGTTTTGTCTGGCGAATTAATTGAACTGAAGGTCCTGATTGCTTATCTTAAATTAAAAGAATCAGGCAGGAGGAGAGGCTTTAGAGGAAAAAAAGTCAACCATTGTGCTGAGTGTTTTATGCAAGCTTAACTATTCCTAGCTCTTTGATGCAACAGGTGTGAATAAAGAGCTGCCCATCATCTTTTGTATAAGGTATCTAATGATTAAACAAAAAAGCCTCAATCTGAGGAAGCCTGTTTTTATGACACGCAAAGCTTCATGGCTAGGAAAGACCAAAACCACAGCTGTAAATATAACTAAGAATGAAGACTTGTGAATTAGCCATAGACTTATGGCAGTAAAATTTATTTTATTTTCAACTGCACTGTGACATTGCTTATGCAAGTGAATTTAATTCAAAGTATAGACAAAACAAGTAACTATTCATATGTTTGCCTAGATCCCTTTTGTTGCATATTCTTTTTCTTATGTTTTAATGGCTCTATACACATATTATCCTACTTTTCTCTTTGGCCAATGCAGTCTCTCACGAAGCAGTGAATAAAGATTGACTCACATCTTCTATTATCTACATGAAATGAGGGATGAATCATAATGTTGAAATGCCACACAAAAATAAATTCTTCCCCCATGTGTACCCAAATGCAAACACGCACACACACACACACACACACACACACACACACACACACACACACACACACACACACACACACACACACACACACACACACACACACACACACACACACACACACACACACACACACACACACACACACACACACACACACACACACACACACCTTGATATTCCTCAGAGCATTTCTATTCAGTGATGATTTTATTGTATGATGTATATTCTGTATGGCTGTTATAAATGGAACTGTTTGGGTTCACAGATGATTACTCTTTTATGTGTTGCTGCGGAGAGAGACCGCTTGCCAAGCTATAATCGACAGTTCCTACTTTTAGTTACTCCAAAACACTAGGGGTGCCAGCACTTTTAGCCCACATCCCCATTTCCTAGTATTAAAATATTTAGCATACCCATTGTTGTCTTGAATTAAAAGCACATCTGTTACAGTCTTAATAGTTTTAGCGCCTAATAATTTTATAAAAAAGTATAGATACCTTTCTGTTGTTTCTTTTTACCTTTTTTTTTTTTACCAACCCCCCTAAGAAACATCCATGACAACATTTCTGCAAAATTATGTCATGCTGCTTCTACCACATTTTGCAACACTTTCAAAGTTAAATGTCCAGTTATTGGCACCAAAACGGCAAACAGATGAACACAAGTCTGGTAAAGTATTATTATGTTGGTTGTATGCATTGCAGTAGTTCGGAAATGAAATGTCCAGTGAGTGGTACTAAAAGGTTAAAAATACCTAATCTAAAACCCTTTCCTAAGCCTAACAGATACCAGTAGTATGAACAAAATAAAATATAAGGTTAAAAAAAAACATTTGTATAATCCACCATCAAATTTTAGCTTGGTTCTTCAAGCTCTTTTATTGTGACTGCCAGACAAATGTAATGATGTCAGAAAAGCCTTATACTGCCTATGAACTGCTGGTTAAATGATGCAAACATCAAAATGTTTTCATTTTGTTTTCAAATCATACATTGTGGTAAATTATGGGTTATTCTGCAAATTATTTGATTATTGATGAATTATTTATTGTTATTGTGCAAGGAACCACTCGAAAATAAGTCTTTATTGATCAATAATCCGCCCCTAATCAGAATTTTTGTGAAAATAAATCAAAGTTGTTGGTGTTTTAATGCCACTCGTGGACATTTTAGCTGGACATTGCATTGAATTGAATTTTAAGGTAAAAAAAAAATATATATAATGTAGATAGAGACGAACGAGTCTAGGTTGTTTTTTTTTTTTTCTTCTTTTCTTTTAAATCAGAGTTCCTGGAGCAGCATTCTCTCTGCCAGACAGTGATAATGTGCTTGCCCAGAGAGGTACATTGATTGTGAAAAGAAATCAGAAATCAGAAAATGTGCAATGATCAATCTCTACACACCCCACATACCAAAACAACTACTGTACGTTTGTTTCTAAATGTATCTTGAATTTTTGACATTTCAGTTTTGACATCTCTCTATACAGAGTCAATCTAAGAATACATTTTTGTATTGTATTAAAAGATATGCAAAATACTTTTGCAGTATACAACTAAAGCATTTCTATAAGACAAGACAAACGTTTTGGTCATGAACATTTGGTCATGCGACTAATTAATTTCATTGCCAAATACATCACGATGTGCCCATCTTCGGCCATTCCCAATTTTAAAACATGTTGTGGCTTCACTACACTAATTGTCTATTAAAATAGGGACTATTGTCTTAATAAGTGTATAAATTCATTTATTGCTGGTTGACACTGCCGGCTACCATGAAATGCAGAATCCTATTAGCATTGATCTTTCACATTTATTCCTCCTACTTTGTACTTCACAATGTTTTTGTCGGTGTGGCCATTGTCCTCAAAAACATTCTGAGATCATGCAGGAAAAAAAAAAAAACATTTGCACTACACAAAAGAAAAAAAGAACCTTGCTTTTGAACACTACTCTTGTTTTTCCTTAGGTGCTCTCCTTACCTGTTGGAGAAAAGCAACAAATTTACACATGAAGTCCCCAAATATCCAGCCAGGCAGGGGGTAGAGAGTAGCAGTGAACGGCACGCAGCAAAGCAGAAAAATGATGTCAGTGGCAGCCAAGTTTGCTGAGGAATTAAATATACATGTAATGAACGATCTGTCTCATCCGAATAGGTATGCAAAATTGAATGAGCAATGTGAAGTGGCACTGTTCATATTATTGTTATCTCCAAGGGGTTCGGGGATTCTGCCAATTCTTCAAATATTGTGAAGTTAAAACAATCTTAAGAATAATTGGAGACAGAAATGGTGAAACATGCAAGGATATGTGCAGTGAATGAAAATAAGCTCTCTCAGCAACACTGAAAATGGATGTTAATCTGACTGCCTGTTATGCTATGATTGATAAAAACTTACTGCAAAAAAAAATACTGAAAAATTACAAAAACACTAACATATAGGCTTTGAGTGATTGTGACTTTTTTTTATTAAGATCAAGTGGCATTTCCTAACCTCGCAATCTTGCTCAAGAGGTCCTAATTAGATTCATCTCACTGTGCTTGTATAAAGTACTAATTAATCTTATTAATTACTTAAGCTCCTTCTATATAAAATGAATTTCAAAGGACAGTAGGTCTGAGCATCATTTTTACAAGAAATAAAGCATAAAAACAACAAGAATGATAAAATAATTAATAGAGAAATATGCAGAAAAGAACAAAAATAATACACTTAATTGCTTATATTATTCCAAAGCAAAGAAATGTCTTTAGAACCTTTTTTTTAAAAAAAGGGTGAATGCTTAATAGAGCTGGTCTAAGCTGGTGAAAGGTTGTACAGGAAAAAAGGAAATTGGCTGAAACTCACCAATGTAAAAGTTAGTAGCAGTCCTCATCTGTTTGTGCTTGGAGACGACATATATCACCAATGAGTTCCCGATCAGCCCCACCAGCATGATGAGGGAGAAGAAGAGGGGCACCAGCCAAGCATCCGTCAGGAAGGGGTGCTCCTCGTCCTCAATATCCTCCAAAGAGGAGTTTCCAATGGAGCTGTTCAATAGCTCACTTGAGTTCCAGTCTTCACTAGGAAACATGATTTTAGACTTAAAAACCTTAAAACAAGATGAAAAAAGTAGAGTTTCTTCTTTTCAGCAGTGACAAAATCCTCATCTCCACTAATCCAAGAAATATTAGGAAAAAGCCGTCTGAATCTGGTGTTGTACTTTCATAAACCTCATATAGTCACCGAGGGAGTTTTGTAAGTTGACGGGTATTTGAGGGAGAAGATCACAACAATTTATCTGACTTCTCTTCAGAAAACTCTTCTCTTGTCTGACGCTCTTTAAAAAAGGAGCCCTGCGAGCAGTATCCACTCAAAGATAGAGTGGTTTCGCTCCCATTGGCTTTATACACAGCCTGAACACATGTGGGCAACAGAATGATTGTAGAATGAAGAACTGATGTCAGGTCGCCTAGCAACAATTTTAGGGCTCTCGCTCTCTCTCTCTCTCTTTCTCATTCCACTGCTCCCTGTGCAGAGAGAGTAAAATATAAATGGTTTACCCTGCAGTATACACATAGCCTAAAGATACGCAACCCTGTGCAATCAAAGAGATCAATGTGGTACAATTTGTTCTACTATGACAACACATAATTCTTCCCTAGAAATTATTGGCCACATTATGAAAACACGCAATTACCGCTTATTGGGACTGTGTGTGCACTCCGCATCATGGCAAATTGCCATGTACAGTAAGATCTCCTTTGTCAAGCTCATGAAAGTTTTTCCTCCTTACAAATTGGTATACATGCACTTTTGGTGCAAATCAAACCAAATTCAGACTATGAACGAGCAATTCAATCAGACCTAAGTTCTGTGAGAATATTGGTGCGTTCCCGTGCTATGGTAATTATGGTAAATACCAAAAGCCGACGTGGAAAATGCACATGGACACCCCCTCATGTGGTATTTTCCACTGGGCAGCTCGTAGAATATTTAAGTACAATACAAACCATAAGCCCACAATCATGGTCTGACTGCTCAGATAAGAGTACAGTGGTCCCTCTGGACACTGATGAAGAACAATCCTGCAAGATGTATTCAGTCAAATTCAACAAGCTCTCTTTGACCCCCCTTACAGTAATTGCTTATTATAATCAGATAATCAGTTTTTGTTTGGAAAAAAAATTATCATTTTTTATAATTTAATTAAAATATTAAACCAATATTACACAAGCAAGTGCTGTTGTTTGTCATATTAGTATGTAAAAGTATAATATAAAAAAATAAGATAAATAAATAAAAAGTTATTAATAGGTTTTATTGGAATTCTTAAATCTAATTAGCCCATTGCATCTTTTAGATGACTGATATTTCTTATAACATTCACCCTCGTCTATGGCAATGCAGTTATACCACTTGACTGTCATTTAACTGGAAGGAATTATTGCAGGAAAACTGCATAGAACCTCTTGAGTGAGACTGCAAAATTAAATTTCTGGAACTTGAATACTTATCAAAAAAAAAATCATAATCCCAAAGTCATAAAATGTTAATAGTTCAATATATTAAAGTGAAAGTGACATATAAATGCCATGGTAACCCATACTCAGAATTTGTCCTCTGCATTTAACCCATCCAACTTAGTGCACACACATTAGGAGTAGTGAACACACACACTGCAAACTGTGGACGCACACACCCAGAGCAGTGGGCAGCCATTTTTGCTGTGATGCCTACGGAGTGATCGGGGGTTAGATGCTTTGCTCTGTCACAGTAACCAGTTCAGTCACCAACTCAGTAACCTGTCAGCACTACATTTCCCAGCATCCCTCCTGGTCCCCACCTGCACTCAGTCTGCTATCACCACATCTGCTGCTGATCATCCTTGCACCTGCACTCTGTCATCAGCACAGCCTATATCAACCTGCATCACCCTCACATCAGTGTCTGGTCTCCTCAATATTACTACAAATGGATCTGCTACGTAAAGTCAGACTTCTTACCTGGACGTTCACCTGAGAGTCTCCTGTCTCCTGTTCATCCTTCGCCTGCGCAAAGAATCCACTTCAGTCATCACCAGCTAAGTCTCTATCACCATTCATCAAGTCACCGTTGTCTGGTTCCTGCTGTTTCCCCACACTCTGCTTCAATAAGCACTGTTTGCACATTACCATCTGTCTGCTCCCTTCTGTGTGTGACACCTCAGCCATTTCCAGCCGGTTTTGAGAATGGAACCCGCAACCTTCGGGTTACCAATCTGATTCTCTAACCATTAAGCCCCAGCTCTGAACTGAGTATAGATTTATTTATTTTTAATTAAAATAGGCTCTTTGGAATTCTTGAATCAGTGACATTTTAGTTTAGGGTCCAGTTCTCATTAAAGGTGTGGTAAAATGCCATTTTCACAAGATGTAAAATAAGTCTCTGATGTCCCAGAGTGTGTGCGAAGTTTTAGCACAAAATAACTGCTAGATATTTTTATATAACATGTTAAAGTCTGCTTGTGTTTAAAAAAAAAAAAAAACTTTTTATAGGTTTCAAAATGTATACATTTTGGATAACTTGTAAAGATTATCTTGATAGTCAAAACGTGTAAGGGTCACAACACTTTGTTGAACACAGATCTTATTTTTTTGTGATTTTTCCAAAAGTCTATGGGGAAAATGCAGCTTTTCGATCGAGGGAACCCATGCGCCGCTAACTTGTCCTACAAAGTGACATCATCACTTCGGCACTCTATTGGATCCTAAACTAAAGCGTTGAATCTGATTGGTCAATCGTAGGCTAGCATTCAGTTGTCTGATATTTCAGCGCAGTCTCATCCCAAGACGTCATACAACTGACGCTTTTGACCATACGTCAACATCCGCCGTTTTAGGGTACACTTTAACGACGGATAGATGACGCTATCTAATCCTAACCCTACCCCTACCCCGTCACCTAACTGACGTTAAAGGTAAAGCGTCAGTTGGCGTCATAATAATAAAAAAGTAAATTGCGACTTTTTATCTCACAACTGACTTTTTTCCTTGCAATTCAGAATTTTTCCGAAAGAACTGCATGATATAAAAATCGCAACTGCCAGTTATAAAGTCAGAATTGTGAGATATAATGTCACAATTTCATGTTATAAAGTTAGAATTGTTCTTTTTTCCTCTAAGCATTGGAATTTATGACTGGCAGTTGCGAGGTTATATCATTCAATTCTGTCAGAAAAAGAGGCTGTTGCAATGTCAGTTTCATGACAACTTTAAAAGCCTTGCAAAATTATTCACATGCAATGACAGTTTTCACAATATCCAAACTTGACATGTACTGAAAATTAAAATATTCAACCAGATTAGATGTTGTTATAGTGATTCGCCGCATACCATCTGAAACTTGTAACATACAATGAATCATTGATTCATTGAATGGCTCTTGCACTGAACATGGCAGCATGGTACACGCTGAGCACAAAAAGGTTTAGTTGAACATTCAGGCTTTAAAACTTAGTATGCCTGACTGGTTATTTTGAAGGTCATAGGAAACCATGCATTTGTATTCTGCCGCTGACATTCTCTGAGTCTCTAGGGATAGGGCCTGCTTCAGCTCAGCCTTCATATGTGCTGAAGCGCTCAGCTTCAAAAGTGTCATGTCCACGGGCCTTGTTTACAAGGCTCCTGGCTTCCAAAAGGCATTGTGGGCACCTTATTTGTTTCACTGCAGCGGTGGTGTATTATTTGTAAACTGCTTTACCATGGAAATAATTGCCAAAGGCTTGTCTGCATCGATAAAGTAAAGTTTTTAGAAATCCGGCCATGAAACATGTATGGCCTGCAGCAAACAATCAAAATGATAAAAAATGATAGAGCACAACCTGAGGCTAGAAATTTGCCGAACACTCTTCAAAATCGAATTACTGTGAACATTATATTTTTCTAAATAAGATTTTTTTTGTTTGTTTTTTTGTTATTATTTTTAACCTTTGTGAGAAAGACCATTGCTCTGACCTTTTTCTCAGTTACATCCTGGCAGCTGAATCGAATCTAGTATGTGCCAGGGGATATAATAGCTGTGGAAATACAGAAACGTAGTGCTTAGTGTCATTGCATAAACATTTTATTTCATTTCTCCATTCGCCTGGAATGGCAGAGATGTTAGAAGGAAGTCACTTAGCTAGAACTTTACATAGGATTGGTTTGCTTTTCAATTTGTCATTCATAGAAGCCTGTGGTCATGGTTCATAGGACAAAACAATTAAGAAAACTGAAGGGGGGTGGAGTAATTGATGCTCCACAACTTTTTCGTTTGATATTAACCTTATGTGTTGGCATTGATATGACACATAATTTGCATAGTGGTAACTGAAGCAAACAAACCAAGTCCAAGGCTGTTTAAAATGCAAATTTTAGAAAGTGCATATATTAAAACGTTTTGTCAATATTTTGCAGTATGCTATATATAAATATGTAACTTGTGAAAATGATATTGAAAAAAAAAAGATTTTTTTTTTCCATTTTTGTTTTAAAAAATCATGAAACTTTCTAAAAAAAAAAAAAAAAATGTGTCAATGTCACTACCAAAACAGTGAATGTTGTAGTCCATTGGCTAAGACTTTTAACCACACCCCTACATTTTTGATCAGGAACTATTCATGTGTCCCTCTCTCTCATGTGCTAAATGGGGAGTAGATTGATCCCATCATTTTGAGGTAAATGTGTTCCAACGTCTAAAAATATGTGTCACATTAAGGAATGTCACCACCAAAGTCTATTGAGAACTTTTTTTGGATGTTATTCCTTAAAAGGTAGTTGTTGTATGTGTTCAACTGTTCTGACCAGTGATTGCAAACCATGTGCTGATTAGCATCTTTGAGCTAGGCTCAAAAGTATTTAAGTAAAATTGTCACTACCAAATCAGTCACAACCAAAACATGTCTTGAAGGTTTGATTGTGACATTATCGTTTTGGACACAGAATCCTTTTATTTGGAGGAATAGACTACATTTGATTACAGTTATGCAGTATGTTTTAGTATGCAAGATTATGTTAAAATTCTGTAAAGTGATGAGGTTACATTTACTTAAGGTTGCATGATAGGTGTAGCTTAGGTGTAAGGTTGTTGTCAGTAATGTTAATATCTATTATTAACTTGACAGGGAGAATGACATAAAACACCAACATGCGTAAAAAAACTACAACAGAGAGACCGAGAATACAAACAAAGTTTGAGGGAAGACCAAGAGAAGTATGAGAAATACTTAAGGAAAGAAAAAGAAAGAAATAAGAAATGAAGTGAAGGAAAGTTGAAGAGTATCAGTGAACTATCTGACAGGGTGTCAGAAAAGCATGGAGGAAAAGACACAGAAAGATGGAGAAAAGACGAAAAGAGGTGGAGACATTTTGAAGGGCTTCCACACCATCTAGAACTTCCAGTGAGGGTG